GTGACCCAGGCAAGTACCTGGAAATTATCAAGTTTTGTTCCGCTTTCACGGAGGCAATTCCTACACTGGGACATTCCCCATGGTAAGGCAATCCTAGATCCTTCTTGTCCATAGGATTTAAGGTTTGCAAAATGTTTTATACTCATTATTTATTTGAGCCTTATAATGTCCTTTCAAAGTTGGTATTACATGTGTTATCATTTCCATTTTACAGATGAAGAAAACGAGGTTCAGAGATGTTTAGTGATTTGGCCATGGTCACACAGTTAGAAAATATGAGAGTCAAGATCTGAACCGGTTTGTTTTGGTTCCATGTCCAGAACTTTTCTGACTCTAACTCTCAACATGAAGCCTTGGAGTTTTAGGTCTCAGCTGAGTCCCAAATATACAGGCACATGTGATTTGTTACTGTTCCAACAGCTGTAACTGTTAAAACTTGCCAGCAGTAAGCAAAACAATAGGAATCTGCTGGTGGGAAACGACGTAGTTTTAAAACCAGCAGAGGGGTTCTTTTCAACAGCTGCAGAAAATGAAATTCTAGCTGGAAAATATTTTTAAGACCTATATTGGTTTTATGCCATAAAATCTCAAGTTATTGCTTTTAAGCTGGGAAAGAAAAAAATGCTTTTGTTATCAGGTATATTCTAGTGAATAATGGGAGTCAAGAGACTTTGAATTCCAGTTTCAGCTCTGCCCCTAAGTTGCTCTGTAATCTTAGACATACCATGTAACTGCTCAGATCCTTGATTTACCCATTTTACTTATTTTTTGGTCTAGGCCTCTGATGTCATTATTGTAGAAAACTTACCGATGTAGTTTCCTTCTAACATAGAAACTGGCAACTGCCCATAATTTAGCCTCTTCAAGGGAGAGGTCGAATGACTTGTCTATTGTCATACAGATAGTATGCTTCAGAGGTTAGACTTAAATCCAGGCCTTCTTAACACTACCCACTCTGCCCATTTTAGAGAGAGGTAAATCGCCTCCCTACCTCACAGGGATAGTGTGAAGTGCTCTTCTAGAAATGAAAGACACGATACACAGTCGTACCTTGGGTTGTATAGTAGATGAATCCTGAAAACTTGCTGGTTCATTAAATCACTTAAAATGCACTAGGGATGCCACTCACTGAAAGGCACACACAGTACATCTTTTTAGAAAAGCAAAGAAACCTTTTGTAATGTGAACAATCAGCCTGTAATTTTTCAATCTTTGCTTAATTTTTCTTTGTATCCTTAAAGCATGATATATACTATAATAAGAATTCACATTTATATTGTAGTTAAAGTGCCATATTAATGCTTACTAAGTAGTCCAACATCCCTATGAGGCAATTATTTCATGGACTGTTATCATTATTTTTCAGATAAGTATACTGAGGGTAAAGGAATTTCATAGACCATAGATATGGAACTGGAAGGGGCCACTGAAAGCCATCTACTCCAGGAAATTTCATTTCAGGGCATTTAAGTGACTTGCCCAGGGAAAACATAGGTAATATATAGCAGAACTGTGTTCACCATCTAAAAGCAAGTCATAGCTAGGATTCAGACCCAGGTCTCCTGATGGCCAATATTTTTTTTTTCACATGCTGCCTCTATTTTATTGTTGTTCAGTCATGTCCTGACTCTTCATGACCGCATTTGGGGTTTTCTAGGCAAAGATACTGGAGTGGTTTGCCGTTTTCTTCTCCAGTCCATTTTACAGATGAGGAAACTGAGGCAAACAGGGTAAGTGATTTGCTCAGAGTCACATAGCTAGTAAATTGTCTGAAACCAGATTTGTACTCAGGAAGGTAAGTCAGTCTTCCTGACTTCTAGGCCAGCCTATCCACTGCACCACCTAGCTTGTTTCTCTCTATAGAGTTCTACAATAATATTGTTTTTCAAAATATGATATAAAATTCTGAGAAGCACTAGACCCGAAAGTGAAAGCCACCAAGCATAACTTTTTTGTAAATGGCATTTCCCTGACATTTTTTTCTAGCATATATTTAGCTTTAAACAACAACAACAACAACTAGAAATCGTGATAGCTGTGAAGAGTGCCACAATTTGGGGCCCAGGCCTTAGTGGCTCAGTGATGGCTTGCAGTGGAGATCAGGGCTTTAGCCCCCAAGTTTTCTATCCTTGAAAAATGCTAGATTCAGAGACAGAATGAAATATATAGTGCAGGTTTTTTGTTACTTGGAAGTAAATGCTTCCATTTTTTATTAACTTTTGTGTAATGTGATCAAATTATTTTTAGTGACTGTCCTTGGGAAAAGTGACTTATTGAGACACACAGCAAGTAGTCTAACGAATAGGAATGCCTAGTAGGTGGGGATGATGATCTCTCTCTCTCTATCCCTGAGGACCATCAGAAGACTGTTAAGTCTCAACTCTCTCATTTGAATTTGGTCTTTTATCTTTTTTGTTTTTGGCCCTGGTTGGGGTTTTGTTGATGGTGATATGCACATCTTATAACATAACCATAAAGAATATAAGCAAAATGAAAGATTTTCATCTCAGTGGTTGGTTGAGGGGATAGGGAGTGGTGGTTATTAAACCATCTGCTCCCTGTTGCATGGGGAAGTTCCAAGAAATGACTGTGCTATCTCCTATACGACCATGGACAAAGCTGAGTATAAAAGCTAAAGAGAAGCAACTGTTTTTGAATAGCAGGTAAGAGTGCTAATCTTGGAATCAGGAAGGCCTGGATTCAAATCTCACCTCAGGTTCTTATTTGTTGTTGTTGTTCAGTCATTTTTCAGTGGTGTTTGACTCTTCATCACTCCGTTTTGGGTTATCTTGGCAAACATGCTGGAGTGGTTTGCCATTTCCTTCTCCAGCTCATTTTATAGATGAGGAAACTGAGGCAAATAGAGTTAAATGACTTGCCCAGGATCACAAAGCTAGTTAAGTGTCTGAGGAAAGATTTGAACTCACAGGGAGGAGTCTTTCTGACTTCAGGCTCGGCACTCTATCCACTACACAGCCTAACTGCCGCCAGGCTCTAATTGAATTTTTGTGAGTCTGGGTAAGTCACTGAACTCTGTTTCCTCTTCTGTAAAAGGAGAAAGCAATAGTACCTACCTCAGAAGGTAGTTGTGAGAATTAAGCAGGATAATGTCCAGACCTTGCCAACTTTAAAGCTTAATAAAAAGGCGTTATTATTATTCTTGATCATGACGAGCATATTCTAGGGAAAACCACTTGTGGGCTTAATTTTAAAACCATCTGCTTCAAATAGCCCACAGATTCTTTGTCCTTTGAATTTCTGAAATCCATTGTCTGTGTGGCTTATTGGACACATACACTGACATTGTTAGCTATCTTTTTATGTGCTTGTTGTTTTATCTCCCTAACAAAAGGCTAGGCTTCTAAAGACAGGGACTTCCTGGAGCCTGCACTGTATTCTCTTTAATGCCTAGAGAAGCGTACTGCACAAAGTAGGCACTCAACACATATTGGACAACCGCTTGCTTGCTGGATTTGTAGGTGAGAGTTGAAATGCACTTAAAATCTTTATTTTGTCCATTTACAAAATGTACAGTAATTACAAAATTTAGATATCCATCACATTCATTTCAAAATGAGAATGTTGTGGAGAATCTAAAAATAAATATATGGCACATAGGGATTAAATACACATGACTGCTCTTTGTACTTCATGCAGCTGCTGATGGTGGCATTTTCTAGGAGAATTAATGCAGTGGAAAGGCCAGACTAGCAATGTGCCTTTCATGTGGATGACCTGTCCCTCGGTTGGCTTCTCTAGGTGGTAGGGAAGGCCTGGAATGTATAGCTTACTGAATTCTTTGTACAGAAAAGAAAAAAAACTCGACCCATCCCAATGGATGCATGCAATACCAGGTTTTCAGATCTGTTGATAAACCCTGGCTTAAAGATTTTGTTCAAGCCCATGGATTTAACCACCTAGGCTAATGGATTCTGCACGACCCATAGCCAGGCAGGCCTTCACGTGATCACTTTGTTTAGTGTGGACCAACATTTGTGTTTTGTCTCTTACTCAAAGTGCCATGCATTACTTTAAAAGCAATCAATGGAGAATGACCCATGCATGCAAATCTATTTGTAGACACGAAGGACATCAGCACCTCCATTATATTTTATAGCATCTTTAGTAGCAACATCAAAATGTCACCTCTTTCAGCAAGAGGAATGAGGCAGATGTACAGAAAGAAGCAAATGGTCAGGCCAGAGTTGTGGACTGATGGCTGCCTGCCTGAGCAGGGTTAGATGACTTCCACAAAACAGGTTGGCAAAAGTCCATGATGTCAGGCCACTGGGCAGAGTTTCCGAGGGCTGGATAGTTCATCACTGTTTCCTTCCACATCCTTATACATCAACAGGACCTGTGATTTCATTAGTATCCCCCCTACCAATGTAGATCACACCCCCTCCAAGATGTAATAGATAGTCTTATCCCAAACATACACACCTAAAACTTCAAAGAGTTTAGGTTGCCCCATAACCTGCTGGGCAAATGCCTAATTATACTCTGAGGTAGTTTGATGTTGTGAATAAACTTCTGTGACCTTTAGAGACAAGTTCCAAGAGCTGTCCCCGTTGCTCTGATGGGGGCTGCATTAGAAGCTGGATTAAATCAAGCCACATTTAATGTGAATAGGAGAGACCTTGCTGTAGGTCCCTGTAGCAAATCTACTAACACTGAACATTAAGTGCTTTATTTCTCCGGTATCTATCATGATCTGTAGGGTACCTTTCATTGTAAACATTCTACGGCTCTTTGCCATGATTCAGCTGAATGACTTGCTCACTTGCCTCAAGTGTATGTTAAGATACCCAGGTAATATCTCTCTTAAAGAGAATGTCGAGAGCAGTATCCAAAAGCCTTGTTTCAAATAGTAGGCCCCAATTAGATCACATCATAGGATCATAGAGCTAGAAGGAATTTCATTTACAGATGAGGAGATTGAGATCTAGGGAAGTTATGTGACCTGCCCAAGGTCACACAGGTAATAATCACTAGAGGCAGGTTTCAAACCCAGGTCCTCTGACTCCAAAGTCAATGATCTTTCCACTGTACCACATTGCCTCCTCATCCTTGATTAGGATTCTATATGATATTGTTTAGGACTTTACAGCCAAGAAATTCCCACTATGCATACTTGGATGCAGCACTTTTAAGTTATTTTAAGTTAAGGGCAAGAGACTTCCCTGACTGTGGCACTTGGACCCTGGTGCCATTTTCCTCTTCATTAGCAATGGTCCCATTCTTTTTATTGTGTACTCTCATTGGGAATCTACGCAGAAAGTCAGGACAATAACGATTATCGTGTGCAAATGCTCCTAGAGCAATCCTGCTGAGGAAACCATACTGCAATATTTTTTGAGATAAAACATGTTAAGCTCATGCAACACAAGGCAACTTTTTTTTTTCAGCATTGGTGCAAAGAATAATTGATGACTTTCAACAAAAATATATTACAAGTTTTACTGCTCTTTAAAAATAACTTCTCTCTGAACATGGTCTGAACAATGGATTTTTTATAATACATTATCACTTTTAGTTATGTCATAGAAAAATAAATATTGTATAAATGATTTACAAGAAAAAAGAAAAATAGCAACATAGAATGTCAAAAATATAGCTAACGATGGTGAAAACTTCACCTTCTACCTCAGGAGCAAACATCTCCCTAAAGTGAGAGTTTGCAGTTGCTAAGGCCCCTTTACCTACTCTCACGTAGCACCCAACATTTCTTCTCTACCTCCCAGTCCCCAGATATCAACCAATGATCTGTCCCAGTGCTACAATAATCTTACTTAGAAATTCTCTGTGAGGATAATGGGAATTCAGTGGTAGACAAACTGCAGGTGGAAGGGTGACTCCACTAATATTTAATTGGCTCTAGTCTCCCCTGTGGGTGAAGCAGAAGGATGACTGAGCCCCTTCCTGGGCTTGGAGGGAATGGTGCTATCCCCAAGCTCTTCTTTCAGCCTCTGCTCTGGTGGGATCAGGAGCAGGAAAAAACCTCAGTGGCTTTTCATTCCTGTTATGGGGAACCCTACATGAGGACTGCAATTAAAGTGTAGTTTATAAGCTCATTACAAGTAGGGATTGTTTCATTGTTCTTATCCCCGGTGCCTGTCTAGTGCCTTGCACATAGTAGGCATTTAATAAATACTTGATTGATCCCTGATGTGACAAAAATAGAAGCTAGAATTCCCATCAACTCTAGATAAAACCCTGTGCATAGGGTCAAGCATGGTCGTAATATAAATATTTGACCCAGATATCCTGGGGCAGAGATTTTCTCCCAAATCCTCTTCGTGCATACCAATATCTTTTTAATTCTTGCTACCTCTCACGAGGCTGGGCAAGAGAATTAAAAATGAACAGAGATGGACATGATCCTTAGATAAATCCTCTGTGTGGAGTTTTGTGTTTGTTTTTATATAATTCTCACTCGTATAAAGTAACAACTCTCCCAGACACCCAATCAAAAGGCTTCTAGGAAAACCAAATCCTTTCCATTAAGACTAAAAAGAAAATTCTGAACATGAATTTGTGGTTGCAGTTAAACAAATAATAGAGCCAGATCAGAGAGGAAAAAAAAGCTTTTGTGATTTAAAACTCAGATGTGCATGCTGGGAGCAGTCTGGTTTGGAAGAGGGCTTGGTGTATTCAAGATGATCGCAATGGAATAATTTTTGTTTCCTAACTCGAAGCAGTAATACTTGGCTGGTATGTCCCCAGATACCTAAAGGTCTTAGTAATGGGAACATCCTTAAATATTATAATTTTAAATATGTGCTATAGTTAGGCCAATGGCATGTGTAGGGAAATATCTTCCTTCCAGAGTTTCCTGGTTCACTAAGCAAATGGCACCTCAGAGCCATTAGGAGGTTAATCCCAATAACACGCACAAACATGACATTATTACTGACACACGTTGGGAGTGGCCAGTTGTCTGATTGATGGGGGATGTTGTGGCAAATATTGCATCTGTTTCATTACGGGGCAGCGGCAAGTTACATATGTTTCCTTCACAACAAGAAGTACAGACCTAAAAGAAAGAAAGAAAACCAGTGGTGAGAAGACATCAGGATGAAGTAAGAGACAGAGATTTCTAGAAAGAACAGTCCAACTCATGGAAAAGATCATTTAAATCCCAAAATGAGCAAGGGGAAATTTCTGGAAAGGAAATGACCAGACCTTCTTGGCTGCATTTGATAACATCATCAGAGAGAAAGAACTTTAGTTATAGACTTTATGGGATCCAGGTTCTAGCACTGATAATGATACAGTTTTATGTTGTTTTAAGCTCATTGTCTCCATCGGTACAATGGAGATGTGTATGCTTTGACTTTACTTACCTCAGAGGAGTGTTACACAAACTAGTCAGTCTCAAATTGTTGAGAAGTTATAGAATGAAATGCTATTGGCCAAAGAACAATTTTGCCCAGATTTTTCAGGTCCCCAAATTAAACTTATATTAGAGTTAACCAGCTAATTGCCTCCATTCCATCCTCTGGGTTCAAGTTGGAAGGAAATAAATTCCCTGGCTATGCTTAATTCCTGCTTTGTATTATTTTCTTTCTGTACAGGCATGAGTAATCACCCTCTGTAGTTACCTACAGATGGAGGATGTATTAGGGATGTGCCTGAGATTTCAAATGTCAGATTCAATTCATTGGTTGTTATTGAACTTCCTTCTTTCTTTTCTTCCTTCCTTCCTTCCTTCCTTCCTTCCTTCCTTCCTTCCTTCCTTCCTTCCTTCCTTCCTTCCTTCCTTCCTTCCTTCCTTCCTTTATTACACCCATTTTAACACCCGTTAACCTGCCCTTCTGTGACTTTTCCATCTTTTTCTTGCCTTCAAGGCTATATTGGATGTTCATTTTAATTTAAATTCATTTGAATAAAGTGGTAGACATAGGAGACTTCAGTAAGTAAAAATAGTGTGGTATGTCCTGGACCCCATTACCTTCCTTAGGGACAGCTCTAACTACAAACCCATCTACGCAAGGTGGATCCATGCTACAGCACTAACCAAATTCAAGAGCCAGTGGGTACTTTCTCAAACATTCCAAAGACAGAAATAGGCCTCTCTTTTACCCAAAGCAACCAAGGTCAAATAGACTATACTGAGTGTGAAGCCATCATAAGTTACACAGACTAAAAGTTTTTGCAAAGTTTTGCTTTTGCTCTTCTTTTCCCCCGGAAAATTAATTATATTCCTCCTTGGAAAGAAGAGCTGCTAACCTAATAAGCACATATATTTACTAGGTTTGTATTTTCAAGAATCTGAAGACACTGTTTGATAGCCCCTTAGCTTCCCTGGCTTCCTTCGAGTCCCAACTAAAATCTCACCTTCTGCAGGAAGGCTTTCTAATTCTGGTGTCTTCCCTTTGCTAATCACTTCCTATTCATCCTGTATATAGCTTGTTCGTACATATTTGTTTGCTTGTTGTCTTTCCCATTTGGTTGCAAGCAACTTGAAGGTAAGGATGATCTTTTGCCTCTTTTTATATCCCCGGTGTCTAGCTCAGTTCCTATATTAGGCGCTTAATTAATGTTTATTGACCGCCTGCCTGACCTTAGTGCTCATCCTGAGCTCCCTTTTCACTTAGTCCCGGAGCATATGAGGGTAAAGCTGGAGAAGGAAATGGCAAACCACTCCAGTATCTTTACCAAGAAAACCCCAGATGGATCACAAAAAGTCAGACGAGATTGGGAAAAGGAACAAAATAAGACTGACTATGTGAGGGTAAGCAGGAGAGCACACTTCTTTCAAGAGGGAGAGTAAAGATAACTTAAGGAAGCAGCAACTCAGGAGGCTCTAGGGAGCGAATTGTGGCCAAAGGCAGATAGATGACTTAACAGAATTCCATCTGATTTGTACCAAACACATTCATTTGGTCACTGACCTTGTGTCCTTCTTGTTCTAAGTCTACGCAGCCAGTTGACAAGCATTCTTCCAGAGGCACGCAACGTTTGGTGACTGATATACTGTTTCCAGTGGTTTCCATGATGTGTTGAGTATAGCAGTATCTGGTCTCTGTCAAACAAAGAAAACACTTCTTATTTGAGAGGGGGAAAGCCAGCTCTACATACCTCAGAGTCAAAAGTCTTGTGCACACATGACAATGGGGAGATGTACTTTCACTTAAATGAAAGAGACATTAATCACAATATGCATATACCAACACAAGCATTATTTTAGCTTTTGATTTTCAGTGTCTCAAAATTTTTATTTGATCCCTCTCACTTTCTATTTTTTGCCAGCTTCCCTTTAGGTACTTTATGGTATTCTAAATAACATAGATCTTGGTCTCTTCCATAACCCTAATCTAAGAAGGGTGTTATTCTCCCTTTGTCAAGAGTAGGGACATCCTCCCTCTGTTTTTTTTTTTTTCTTTGAGTGGAGGGATAAGGTAGGAGTGTCTAGTGATAAGGATTTTCAGGGGGGTTGAAAATTCAATTAAAACAAGCATTTATTGAGAGCCTACTATGTTCAAGGTATGAGTCAACTTGGTATAAAAGAATGAAACTAGCAGATTCATTGGGACCTTGGTTCAAATCCCACTTTTAACACACACTGGTTGTGCCTTTTATTTGACCTAGACAACAATCTAAGATATGGGCTCCTAATTTTGTGTCATGGACACCACTAGCAGTGTGGTAAAGTCCATGGACCCCTTGTCAAAGCAATGTTTTTTAATGCATAAAATAAATGATTATAAAGGAAACCAATTACATTGAATTACAGTTGTCAATATGCCAAAAAACAATTCATGGGCACCCGGAAATCTATCCACAGACCCCTTGAGGAGGTATTGGTAAATCTGCATCGGTAAAAAGGAGTTTCCTCCTTTGAGGAGTTTGCTACACCAACGAAATCACAGGACCAGTCTCCCCAAAATGCGTAAGGCGTTCTTTGAGAGCTAGAGAAGTCCAGCAATGTAATTTAATCAGGATAGAAACGAGCATTCTTTAAACTCCTACCACTGATGAGTCTCTAACTATCATCTTAGAGAATTGCCGGGAGCACTGAAAGGTTAATAGCAAAGCATTAGAGGCAGAATGGGAGCCCAGGTCTTCCTAAGTGGATAGTTATGCACTATACCAGGCTTGGGACACAAAGGCAGAAATGAAATACAGCCCCCAAGCCTCAAGAAGCTAATGTTCTACTGGGAGATTAAAAAAAATAGTCAACAGATATGCAAATACGAGATAATTTAAGAAGGGAGACAGTGCTAATAACTAGTATTTTGACACGTATTTGGGAATACAGGGCTAATAGAACAGGAATAACTTAGCCTGGGAAACTAGGTAACTATGGTCTTCCAGTACATCAAGACCATATAAGTTGCAGACAAAATAAATTAACACTGCATTCGGAGGAATTTTCCGCTAACTCAATTGCCTAAGTCCACAGAGCTAATACACGCTAGAGACAGAACTAGACCTCAAGATTTCTGGATCCAGCACACCTTCCTTTTAAGCCATGGGGCCTCTCTGCATGAAGGCAGCATGATAAATTAGATAATTGTTTAATGTCCCTCCCGGGCCTGCAAGTCTGTGAAAACTCCACGTGTTATGAAACATCACAGAGATGTTTAAATGTAATTTAAAAACTAAGGAAAGATGACTGGTCCCTAGCATAATTCTGGAAGGCCTCCAGGCAGTGTCCAACATTCTAAGCCTCAGTCTTTAGGTCTGAAGAATAGTAAATAATTCTTAAGAGGTGTCATTGTGCTATTTCTCTGTTCTTCCTTGGATATACCTATGCATACTTTATACATTTTAGGTATTCGATGGCTAATACAGAATTATGACCTACTATGATGTTATTTATTGGGCAATAAAACCCCCCACCAGACTCTGTCATCATTTTGGCATCTTGTAACTCAAGAAGTAATAATATCTAGGGCAAGAGAGCTTGAACATTTCAGACATGGTTATGAGCCAACACAGACCACCTTTATGCATTTTTTTTTTGAACCATGAAAATACAGGGATCTTAATAAGCTTTCTAGACATTATCAATGAAGAAGTTCATGAAGGTTCTCTGATTCAGTCAAGCTGCTTATAGAAACTTGCCAAAACATACCACAATGCACATTTATAGTTACTCCGTATCCAGGGTAACCCCATTTTTCAGGAACAGTTTAATGGGAACCAGTTCTAAGTGGCCTTATTTTCCTAGGCTTACTGCATCATAGACTTAGAACTAGAAAGGACCTTCTAGTAACAACAACAACAACAAGAAAAAACAATAACTTTATTAATATAATGTAAATATAAATAATATATTATATAAACATAATATTTATAATTCATTGTAGTATTACAATTAAATATATAAATTTATTAAAATAAATAATTATACAATTTGTAATAATAATAATAATAATAATAATACATAGTAGTAGTAATAGTTAACATTTATATAGTACCAGAATGTTTACAAAAAGCTTTACATATACAGAAGAAGACCTGAAACCTAGAGAGTTAAAGTGCCTTGCCTAGGGTTTTAAGTGGCAGAGCCACAATTCAAATTGAGGTTCTCTGACTTAAAATCCAGATCATTTTCCACTGTACAAATAAAGCTTTTTTGAAGGAAGCTGAGTAAACAGAGTTGCTACCAAAGAACCTGGAAATTTAGTGACCAATTATTCTTGGCCCAAAGCCTTTATAGTATTTTATAAACATTGCCATGACCTGATCCCTTTCTGAAGAGGAGGGAGGCATCAGTTCCCTTTGAGACAGGGGGAGGGCATTCTTTCTCTTGGGCTATTATTTAGTGCACTGTGAATGATTTTATTGAATAGGCCCCCCTGACCTGTAATCATCAAGATGTCTGCTAGAGGGGTCTGTGGACTATTCACTAGGATGGGTCCAAGTCAAGGCACTCCTCACAGAAGCTCTTGGCAATGACATAAACCTCCCATTCCTTTACTTTCAAATGCCCAATCAAGCCAATAAAAAAGGAATGCTCTTATCTCCTACACTCACTTCATCAGCCAAGGAAGGGGCCAGATAACTAGAAGCAGCTGCCTAGGGTTTTACTGCTCCAAAGGTAAATAGAAGCTACCGTGATAAGATCTCATCCAGCATGCAGGTAAAACATTTTATGACTTCAAATTTATAAATCAGATATGTTCTCCAGACAATGAATTATCCTAGTTTTAAAGTAACTTTATGGTGACAATGATTTGTTCAATCTAGATGTAACTTCCGCTTTACACATTTTCCCTTAGCAACAAGCTATTTAATTACCTTCTTGGTAAAATTATTTCACTGAAAAAGATGCAACAAGGAATAAAAATGTCTGTTGAGTTTACCCTTTGTAAGAGCAAAGATCCTGTTCAAAGAACAGACAGGAACAGGTAGGTCTCTATTGTTCAATTCCCCTTCTGGGGAGGTTCACTTAAGAGTTTTGCAAGGACATATACATACATACATACATATATATACATATGTGTGTGTGTGTATGTGTGTGTGTGTGTGTATACTGATTGAATCTGCACAGCGTGATTTATCACTATATATCTATCCATCCATCCATCCATCCATCCATCTATCCATCTATCAGGTTGTGCAAATTCAATTGGCACAAATATGATGAAAAACAAACAAAAATCTACACTGTTACTACTAGCATCAGAGCATCACAGAGTGCTCACTCCTGTAGTATCAGATCCCCAGTATTCATTCCACTTTTTCTCTTCTTTCACCCAAAAACTAGGCTTGGAAGTACATTCCTTCCTGCTATGTTCCCAGTGTGAAAGGAATCACCCAACCCTAATTCTCTGACAAAGTGATTTCCTTGCAAAACTCATTCAGACACTTGGTCTCAAAATTGTAGGTGGACTCTAATGTTGGTGAACACAGAACATCAGCTGCAGAACACAATTAACCATGCATTTTGATAGCCCTTGAGTTAGTCTGCAGGATATGTAAGAAATGAGCTCCCTGATAACTCCAGGTAAAAGGATTTCAGAGGCTTTGTTCTAAAAATAACAGGTGGATTTGAATTTCTACTTGGTTAGTTTTTGGCCACTAAAATCCCATATTCTTGCAAATATGTAATACTCCCACAGGTTGTGAAACAAAAATTGTTTGCTATGAGCTTCAAAGAAATTAACCAAAAGTAGATCCAGGAAAGATTGTTCAATGAATTATTTATTGAGAAAAACAGAAACATGATTTTCATTGAGCCTCTATACACATGTACAGAGATGTCACATTCCCATTAATGTTCATATCCAAGTTCTGAAATGGAAAACCATGTAAGGCCATGATGTAGAGTCATTATTTGGCAGGTAGTAATACAGGTTTCTTTCAACTATTAACATTCAGCTCCTCATAATGAGTTTCTGTGTTTTTATGGTACTTTGCTTGCACAGTATGGACAACATTATTCTAAAAAATGAACAAATCACATTTACAAAGGTTTCTTGTGAATTGGTTGAATATGCAGATTGCTTTTCCTCAAAGAACTGTGGTATTTGAATTCTTTAGGAATACATTCATTAACTGAAGAGACGTAGGGGGAAAATGCCATTCGAAAGATAAGAGATTAAAGGGAGATATGTTTTGACAGTGTTATAATAAGTGACTAAAAAAAATTAAATGAGCAACAGAACAACCTTTCCTTGATACATCTACAATTAATTCATGTAGCTCAAAGTGGAAAATAAATAAAACATTTTACGTTACTATTTCTTCTTCCTCTCCCTTCTCCATTTTCTTCATGGGATTTCTTTCATTTATGGGACATGGCCATGTTAAGTGATTTTTGTATGGTCACATAGCACGGACATATCACAGGTAGGAATTAAAGCCAGTCTTCCTGGCTTCCAGGCTAGTTCTCTGTCTGCTACCTCATACTGCCTCCCCTGTTTTGTTATCTTAAATGGCCTCATTATCACATCTTAAAAGCAAAGCAAAGTTCAAGGTAACAGAAAAATGATTTAGGAAAAGGAGGAACCTAAATCAGCTGTCAGGTGAACTACTTCATTTGAAAACTACTGAGTACACTGTCTTGTATAT